TTTGCGATTTATTCTCATTTGCATTTTTTTCAGCTTCCGTGTTCTATGTAAACACTGCAAATAAATATTTCTTCTTCTAAAACTTTCCTCTTCAAGGATATACTCTTAATATATATATATATATATGTAAATTAACGTTAAATTTTCACGGATAGTTGTGATTGTAGCATGGAAACAGTTATGCTGAGAAATATTTAGCTATTTTATTTTATCGTATTTATTTGTTGTTGATAGAGAGAGAGAGTAGTGGTCAGCGAGGATACTCAACTGATGACCTACGGCAGTGCCATAGACGTTGTTTTTTTTTTTTTTTGGTGGTTTACCTGTCACTCATGATTTATTGTAGTTTTTACTAGAGATGCTAAGCAACTTTTCTGGTAGAAAGTACTACATAAATGTTCAACACGCTGTTTCAGCGAGTGTTATGTTTAATACCAAGTGAAAAAAAAAAGACGATGAAAATTTAAAACATACAAACGACAAATGTCAGTACCTATTACTTATCTGTTTGGTGTTTGTTTGCTCGTTTGTTGTTAAGCACAAAGCCTCACAATGAGCTATTTGTGTGGTGCTCACCACGGGTATAGAAACCCGAATTTTGGCGTTATATGCTTTCAGACTTACCGCTATGCCAATGGGGTTCTCATATTTGGATGTAGCCCTTTTTCAAAAAGGAATAGGAAGTTTTTTAACAAAACACTATGGAATACCGAGAAACGATTACATTAATATTATATAACAACGTGTGATGAGATATCAATCAAGTAATATGTAAAAAAACGGGGGATAATCAAATACGCCCCTGATAACATATCATTTCAATATCTTATTGAAGTTATTTCATAAAATCAATGAAAATAAATTAAGGTCCTTACGTCATACTTGTAGTTCAAAAACGTTTGTATGCCTGTCCTAATTTTATTTTCCCGGTATACAAAGATATCCCTGTTAAATATCAGTGTCATACAACGACGCTAATGTTATACTAAAATACATTACATTATTCAGTCCTCAATAACTAAAAGTCTGCATCATCAATGATATTGTTTCTTAGCAAAGTGAAAGGTCTGATCCAAATGTATACATACAGTATATGTTACACATTTATATATACACCTGGAAAAAAGTTAAGCACCCCCGTGTTTTTTTCAAGTGATTCAGATTCGACGTTCTTGTGACTGATTATAAATTACCATTCAATCTAAACGTGTTTATG